GTTGATAATGAGACCATGTACTTGCTTGGAGTTGATAATGAGACCCTGTACTTGCTTGGAGTTGATGATGAGACCCTGTACTTGCTTGGAGTTGATGATGAGACCCTGTACTTGCTTGGAGTTGATAATGAGATCCTGTACTTGCTTGGAGTTGATGATGAGACCCTGTACTTGCTTGGAGTTTATAATGAAACCCTGTACTTGCTTGGAGTTGATAATGAGACCTTGTATTTGAGTTGAGTTGATGATGAGACCCTGTACTTGCATGGAGTTGATAATGAGACCATGTACTTGCTTGGAGTTGATAAAAAGGCCATGTACTTGCTTGGAGTTGATAAGGAGACCCTATACTTGATTGGAGTTTATAATGAAACCCTGTGCTTGCTTGGAGTTGATAATGAGACCATGTACTTACTTGGAGTTCATAATGTGACCCTCTACTTGTTTGGAGTTGATGATGAGACCCTGTACTTCCTTGGAGTTGATAATAAGATCATGTACTTGCTTGGAGTTGATAATGAGACCATGTACTTGCTTGGAGTTGATAATGAGACCATGTACTTGCTTGGAGTTTATAATGTGACCCTGTACTTGCTTGGAGTTGATAATGAGACTCTTTACTTGCTTGGAGTTGATGATGAGACCCTGTACTTGCTTGGAGTTGATAATGAGACCCTGTACTTGCTTGGAGTTGATAATGAGACCATGTACTTGCTTGGAGTTGATAATGAGACCATGTACTTGCTTGGAGTTGATAATGAGACCATGTACTTGCTTGGAGTTGATGATGAGACCCTATACTTGCTTGGAGTTGATAATGAGACCCTGTACTTGCTTGGAGTTGATGATGAGACCCTGTACTTGCTTGGAGTTGATAATGAGACCCTGTACTTGCTTGGAGTTGATGATGAGACCCTGTACTTGCTTGGAGTTTATAATGAAATCCTGTACTTGCTTGGAGTTGATAATGAGACCATGTACTTGCTTGGAGTTGATGATGAGACCCTATACTTGCTTGGAGTTGATAATGAGACCCTGTACTTGCTTGGAGTTGATATGAGACCCTGTACTTGGTTGGAGTTGATGATGAGACCCTGTACTTGCTTGGAGTTGATGATGAGACCCTGTACTTGCTTGGAGTTGATAATGAGACCATGTACTTGCTTGGAGTTGATGATGAGACCTGTACTTGCTTGGAGTTTATAATGAGACCCTGTACTTGCTTGGAGTTGATGATGAGACCATGTACTTGCTTGGAGTTGATGATGAGACCCTGTACTTGCTTGGAGTTGATAATGAGACCCTGTACTTGCTTGAAGTTGATAATGAGACCATGTACTTGCTTGGAGTTGATAATGAGACCATGTACTTGCTTGGAGTTGATAATGAGACCATGTACTTGCTTGGAGTTGATGATGAGACCCTATACTTGCTTGGAGTTGATAATGAGACCCTGTACTTGCTTGGAGTTGATGATGAGACCCTGTACTTGCTTGGAGTTGATAATGAGACCCTGTACTTGCTTGGAGTTGATGATGAGACCCTGTACTTGCTTGGAGTTTATAATGAAATCCTGTACTTGCTTGGAGTTGATAATGAGACCATGTACTTGCTTGGAGTTGATGATGAGACCCTATACTTGCTTGGAGTTGATAATGAGACCCTGTACTTGCTTGGAGTTGATGATGAGACCCTGTACTTGGTTGGAGTTGATGATGAGACCCTGTACTTGCTTGGAGTTGATGATGAGACCCTGTACTTGCTTGGAGTTGATAATGAGACCATGTACTTGCTTGGAGTTGATGATGAGACCTGTACTTGCTTGGAGTTTATAATGAGACCCTGTACTTGCTTGGAGTTGATGATGAGACCATGTACTTGCTTGGAGTTGATGATGAGACCCTGTACTTACTTGGAGTTGATAATGAGACCATGTACTTGCTTGGAGTTTATAATGAAACCCTGTACTTGCTTGGAGTTGATAATGAGACCATGTACTTGCTTGGAGATGATGATGAGACCCTGTACTTGCTTGGAGTTGATAATGAGACCCTGTACTTGCTTGGATTTGATGATGAGACCCTATACTTTATTGGAGTTGATAATGAGACCCTGTACTTGCTTTGAGTTGATAATGAGACCCTGTACTTGATAGGAGTTGATAATGACCTTGACCCTGTAACCTTGAGCGGCTTTCCTTTACAAGAAATTACAGAAAATAAGAGATGCATTAATCAGGGTCAAGTCTCAATGTTTAAGAGCTGTGAATTTCATTCTCATAAATAGGTTACTGTAGAATCTTGTAATATTTACCATAATGATTAACAAAAGATGACTATACAAATTACATTATTGGCACAACATTACAAAAGCAATGAACTGGTTCAGAGGTGAACCTACTTGTGTCTGATAAGAATCCTATGTACTAAACATTTCTTAAGAACTTAACTTTATAATGCTAAAATAAATCTCTTGCTAAATCACAAACAAAAATAGAAAATATTTGCATCATATTACATAAGCTGAAGCTTCAGAGGAAATATAACATGTGGTAATACAATAGAAAATTAATAAATAACTTGCCTACCTCTACAGCTGAGTCCTTAAGTATACTGCTCACTGACAAGATGTTCCATAATGTAAAGATCTTAGTTTTAGGGTGAGGTATTTATGCACAGATGATGCAACCCTACATCGTCTGTGAGGTGGAAGTATTCGGTTCTTCCTCAGGAATCGTACACAAAACAAAACCGCAGTACATGTATTTATTAAATAAAGGGATTTATACCACTCAGTGACAATAATTGTGAACATTTCCTTCTTTATTTGTAATTGAATGTAAATAATACATGATCACTAACTGTTGCTCTGTTAAAAAGTTTAAGTATAATGGATTATTTCCCCTTTCTGTTGCAGAAAAAGTAGTATATTTTATTGTCATCCTTATATTGCAAGTTGTCAAATATTATCTTTAATTTTTCAATTGTTCTAAGTTTTAGTACACAAAAAATCCATAAGGAAACAACAATTTTATGTTTTGTAATGGTAGGGGAGGAGGCTTGTAATTTTTGGGTGCAAATTTTCAGGCCAAAAATAGCTTAAAAAACTACTATTCCTATAATTTACAGAAGAAAGTTGAGAAAAACAATTATCTCTAATAAAAACGAACAATATACTGGTTTGGAAAAAAATCCCACTCCCACTAAGGTAAGTCACTGGTAGTTTCTTTGGATGTCTTAATGGCACTGCTTTTATTTAGGACTTGCTAGACATTATAAGAAGTCTTTCAGTGAAAACCCCATGCTGATCAAGTCCATTCAGGAGGAGTAGCCATTAACAAGATTTTAAAGGTGGCTACCATGGTGGCCATTTGAATGGAACCACTTTTAGTTGGGACCAACTAGATCATGTAGTAAATGTGTTCAGTTTCATATCAAACCTCTCAGTAGTTAATTAGGATTGTAGTATTGCTAGGGATGAATAACCATTCCATTTCATCTTGACTTAAAAAGAATCTTCAGCACTTGAGTTCTCAATCATCTACACTTACCAAGCTTCATGAATCGTTGTTATAGGGAAGAAGATTTCATGGTCAAAGGTCACTTGAATGAAAAAAGAAAATAGATTCTGCATAATAACATTACTTGTACATCACAGACAAAACTTTATGGATGGCTGGATCTTGGAACCAAAAAGCATATACTGAAAGAAGAAAATAATTTCTGCATAATAATTTCATTTCTCTGCTTATCTTCACCAATGTATAACTCTCACACTGCATAATAATTTCATTTCTTTGTAACCCGATCATAATACCTTTGGAAAACTACTTTCTCACAAATCCAGCCCTACCAGGCTAAGCTGCTTATGCTAAAATACTAAAAGTTGTCTGCTCAAATATGTGACATTTAAAGTGATTTCCCTTGATACTAGGAATGGCACCAAATCCCATGAATACTGAAGTTATTACTTTTGCTTGTATAAAGTAGCAAGTTCTAACTCTGATAATACTGTATCACCAAAAAAATTGATCATCAGGTATCATCCACCAGACTAATGACCTTTTTCCTGTTTCATGAACCCAGGGTATAGAGGCAGTCTTGTGGATATTTATCCCACACAGTGCTATTAGGTATTGCCTGCATATGATGCACAGGTTATACAGGCACTATTGTGGACCAGTCTAACCCATATAGTGCTGATGGGTGATGCCTGCATACCATGCCCAGATGCCCAGGTTATACAGGCACTATTGTGGACCAGTCTAACCCATATAGTGTTGCTGGGTGATGTCTGCATATGATGCCCAGGTTATACAGGCCCTGTTGTGGACCAGTCTAACCCATATAGTGCTGCTGGGTGATGTCTGCATATGATGCACAGGTTATACAGGCACTATTGTGGACCAGTCTAACCCATATAGTGCTGATGGGTGATGTCTAAATATGATGCCCAGGTTATACAGGCATTATTGTGGACCAGTCTGACCCATATAGTGTTGCTGGGTGATGTCTGCATATGATGCCCATGTTATACAGGCACTAATGTGGACCAGTCTAACCCATATAGTGCTGCTGGGTGATGTCTAAATATGATGCCCAGGTTATACAGGCACTATTGTGGACCAGTCTAACCCATATATTGTTGCTGGGTGATGTTTGCATATGATGCACAGGTTATACAGGCACTAATGTGGACCAGTCTAACCCATATAGTGCTGCTGGTTGCTGCCTGCATATGATGCCCGGATTAGTGCCTTGGTATCCAAGAAATGTTTCACTTTGTTCCCAAGCCTTTGTCACTCAGAGGGAGCCTGTATTTAGGGACAACTTGGAAGTCTTCATATATTAGGTCATTCAGTGACTATTTAACTGCCATCCATGACATTATTCTTCTGCTACTTCCCATGTAGCACAAGAGATATCGGCTTCAACACCCTTATCCAAAAGCAAAACTTGAAATTACTCTTGTTGTTATTAGAGATTACTTAATGTGCCAATCACTCCAGTGGCTTAGTGGTTAGAATATCCGCCTCAGATGCAAAAGGTTGTGGGTTTGAACCCCAGCTGAGTTATACCAAAGACTTATAAAAATGGTACTAGCAGCTGCATTGCTTGGTGCTAGGTACATATATTAAGAGGTTAGATTTAGGACTGGTTGGACTGGTGTCAGGAAAATGTGACTGGGTGGGATATGGTGCTACATGTCTGCAGCATGCTGCAACAGTGCTGGAAATCACTATAAACTATTACACTGCAGACATTGTAGTGATATGACTGAAATTTTTTTAAAGCTATATTAAAAATCTAAACTACACACACACACACACACACACACACACACACACACACACACACACACACGATATGCAAAACCTAAACCTTACGGACTTTGACTGCAATTTTCCAGCTACAATCACCAGAGCTCTGCCCTCCTTATCCTCCTCCCAAAACAACAACTGCCTGATCTAAAGTTTTGGCATCAGTTGATTATTAACATGAAAAATCTACCTTCAAATTACTTCCAATTTGTCGGTTATGGATAATCTGAAATGCTTATATCTTTAATTACAAGACCCAAGCATCAGCCGACTCGTTTTCTCAAAATAAGGCCTTCACTTGAACTCAGTTCTGTAAGTCCCACACATCAATTTTCTATTTGAATACCCCAACCTATATCATAGCATTGGGAATGACACAGCAATCCTCAGCACACATGAAGTTTTTGAACAACAAGCAGCAATTGGTGTACAATTTCTTGGCTCCAGATGGATTTGGTATCTATGGTGATGGATCTAGTATCTATGGTGATCTTTCAACAGGAAGAATACACATCTTCCACACTGAATACCACAGGATATGCATGGCAGCCTGTTTCCAGCATACTTTGCCTAAGGCCATAACAGCAGCTAAAGTTTCAATATGCATAATATTAATAAGCAGTTCTCTCTTTCTCCATCATAAGGCCTGGCAACAATTGCAGCCCTCATCATCAAATGACTTTAAGGGTCAGGTTGATGAAAATCCACACGCAAACAAGCCCCCAAGGGAAACAATTTCCCTCCCTCACAATCTCAGCTACAGCAGAGGGATTTTTGAGTCGATCATTATTAAGATTGCAGTGCCACCCCTGGGATGACATGCATCACCAGGAAGCAATCTACTGAATCTGCAAATGAAGAAAACCAGTGGTCAAGAGGGGGATTGAATGCCAGTGTTTTTCCATGACAGCCTCCCAATGTAAAAAAATATGGTATCTTCATTATGCCTATGTCACAGATCCCAGTAGGAGAAAGGCTCCAATTCTTCACTTCTGAATGGGACAAGATATAACAGGATGATCTATGGACAGTTTCCAAGGTACAAGATATGACAGGATGACCTATGGAGAGTTTCCAAGGTACAAGATATGACAGGATGACCTATGGACAGTTTCCAAGGGACAAGATATGACAGGATGATCTATGGACAGTTTCCAAAAGACAAGATATGACAGGATGATCTATGGACAGTTTCCAAGGGACAAGATATGACAGGATGATCTATGGACAGTTTCCAAGAGACAAGATATGACAGGATGATCTATGGACAGTTTCCAAGGTACAAGATATGACAGGATGACCTATGGACAGTTTCCAAGGGACAAGATATGACAGGATGATCTATGGACAGTTTCCAAAAGACAAGATATGACAGGATGATCTATGGACAGTTTCCAAGGGACAAGATATGACAGGATGATCTATGGACAGTTTCCAAGAGACAAGATATGACAGGATGACCTATGGACAGTTTCCAAGGGACAAGATATGACAGGATGATCTATGGACAGTTTCCAAAAGACAAGATATGACAGGATGACCTATGGACAGTTTCCAAGGGACAAGATATGACAGGATGACCTATGGACAGTTTCCAAAGGACATGATATGACAGGATGACCTATGGACAGTTTCCAAGGGACAAGATATGACAGGATGACCTATGGACAGTTTCCAAGGGACAAGATATGACAGGATGATCTATGGACAGTTTCCAAGGGACATGATATGACAGGATGATCTATGGACAGTTTCCAAGGGACATGATATGACAGGATGATCTATGGACAGTTTCCAATGGACATGATATTACTTTTTGCCCTATGATCAGCCTAAGAGCACTCATTAATTCATTCTTGCCACAATGGATACATGACAACTCCTTCCATAATTTTGGGAAGCCAGTGGAGCATACCCCCCCCTTTGGATCATCATTTACATTTCAACATTTTACACAGGAAGGGAGTTTTCATTCTGTCTGACAACTCCGCTGTGGTGACATTTCTCAAACAGCAAGGTGGAACCAAAACCACAGACCTTTGCTTTCTTATTTGGAAATTTGTTAAGTGGCACCTTCAATGACAAATCCACTTCCAAGTTTGTCATATTCCATGCAGACTAAATGTATTTGCAAACTCGTTTCAAAAGAATGAACAAATACAAATGAAATGTTCTCTCAATTCCTTGGTTTTCAATCACATGGCAGATGGCATCAACCAATGGTGGACCTATTCATGACAAGGTGGAATGCTGACCTGCCAGTCCCGGATCAAAAGGCCCTGGCAATAGATGCTCTTTCTAGACTGGAATGTTATGGATTCTAAAGGTGATAGAAAAAAGCAAGATGATTGGAGTGTGACATTATACATCCCCACATTTCAACAGAACCCAACTGACTTAATCTTCCAATGGGAAATTACCCCAAACTTGTAAACAGATTCATTATTAACACAGTCTAAAACTTGTCAATAGTCTTTTTATACCTCCATGCAATCTACAGTCAGTTAGACAGTATGCCTGCCATGTGCTAAATAGTATCTTATAAATACTGCAAATGAGGTAGATTGTATGCATGCCACATGTTAATAATAGCTTTTTATTTGAATACTGTACATGAGGTAGACAGTATGCCTGCCATGTGCTAAATAGTATCTTATGAATACTTTAAATGAGGTAGATTGTATGCATGCCACATGTTAATAATAGCTTTTTTACTTGAATACTGTACATGAGGTAGACAGTATGCCTGCCATGTGCTAAATAGTATCCTATAAATACTGCAAATGAGGTAGATTGTATGCATGCCACATGTTAATAATAGCTTTTTATTTGAATACTGTACATGAGGTAGACAGTATGCCTGCCATGTGCTAAATAGTATCTTATGAATACTTTAAATGAGGTAGATTGTATGCATGCCACATGTTAATAATAGCTTTTTTACTTGAATACTGTACATGAGGTAGACAGTATGCCTGCCATGTGCTAAATAGTATCCTATAAATACTGCAAATGAGGTAGATTGTATGCATGCCACATGTTAATAATAGCTTTTTTACTTGAATACTGTACATGAGGTAGACAGTATGCCTGCCATGTGCTAAATAGTATCTTATGAATACTTTAAATGAGGTAGATTGTATGCATGCCACATGTTAATAATAGCTTTTTATTTGAATACTGTACATGAGGTAGACAGTATGCCTGCCATGTGCTAAATAGTATCTTATGAATACTTTAAATGAGGTAGATTGTATGCATGCCACATGTTAATAATAGCTTTTTATTTGAATACTGTACATGAGGTAGACAGTATGCCTGCCATGTGCTAAATAGTATCTTATAAATACTGCAAATGAGGTAGATTGTATGCATGCCACATGTTAATAATAGCTTTTTTACTTGAATACTGTACATTAGGTAGACAGTATGCCTGCCATGTGCTAAATAGTATCTTATGAATACTTTAAATGAGGTAGATTGTATACATGCCACATGTTAATAATAGCTTTTATACTTGAATACTATACATGAGGTAGACAGTATGCCTGCCATGTGCTAAATAGTATTTTATGAATACATGTACTGTAAATGAGGTAGATTGTATGCATGCCACATGTTAATAATAGCTTTTATACTTGAATACTGTACATGAGGTAGACTCTATGCCTGCCATGTGCTAAATAGTATCTTATGAATACTTTAAATGAGATAGATTGTATGCATGCCAAGCAGCAGGGGGGGTGAACCCTACAAATTTTTGCGACGAAATCGATTAAAGCCTCAGAATGCCAAATGGAGCCTTCCTACGAAATCTCATATTTTAACCAAAAAAAAATAAAGACTCCATTTTACAAATGGAGCCTTAGCGATTTTGTCGTAAATACATTGTCATAACCACCCTCAAAATTGCTGCCATCTACGTCGCAAATATGTTGCCATCTCACCCCCCCCCTGCTGCTGATTAATGCAAATTATTTGTTAGCTTTTCACAAACAGACTAATCGATAATACTTCACCACGTAGATCAATTAAATTATTTGACTGATCGGTGAGTGTAAAATTAATTCTAGTTAGCGAATCATTTTGACATTGCATATAGACTGGATTAGTCGGATTCTCAACAATTAAAAATCCGGGGGGGGGGGCTGTTGGTGTAAATGAATAAAGAATGTAAATGAATAAAGAATGTAACCTTGTCGGGCTTGATTTGATTGTTCCATATTAATTTGATAACTTCCTTCGATTACATCACACGTTAAATTACATCGTTAAATTACATCGATTACATCACACGTTAAATTAAGTGAGATCACTGATGAAATATCCACATTGTCGGTGCGATATGTCTACCGTCGCCGTCGGGAGAATTATTTTGAGTGAGGATAATAGGATTTGGCTGGCTATCTTTCCATGATTGATAAATTTTATTAAATCCTTCGTCGATGGCAGTTCTGAGTTTTTTCTTTAACTCGGGAACGTTATATCCTAGTAATTTATAATTTGGATTTTCATTTATATTTTTTTTATAATCTTGGGCTGAACTAGTTTTTGAAATCGGGTTATTTTCATCAGTGAAGAGATTAGTAATCCTCGAATTAAATATTTCCATGTCATCGATGATTTTATTACCCGCAGCGACTACACTAGTAAACTCAGCTTGTGTAAGAAGGCCAGATCTTAACGAGGGTAATAACAACAAAAAATCATTATTCATTCTATCAAGGATGTGATTTTTAATATCTACAAATGTT